CTCTTTCCCAGCATTCCAGATGACGAGTGCCCTTCCGCGCTCCCCTCTCCCTGTTGGAAGGAGGGTGGTGAGGGGAGTCCTCCGGCCACTCTGGACCCCGGACACTGGAGTAGCCCATCCCGTCTGCCCTGCCCGCTCTCATTTCGAACCACGTTCAGGTTGGGAGCTTCCCAGCTGTCCTCCCACACCCCTGGTACAGCCTCACCTGCTCACAGAAGAGCTCTGTCTCCAAAGAGGGGTGCTGTGGCAGCAGAGGCTGTGAAGGGTCCCCAGAACGTGTCAGGACTGCAGGCTTCACACTCCCCAGGGCCTCCACATCTCTGGCATGGCTGCAGGATGACACACAGGGGACATGGGCTGAGTAGGCTGCTCGGCCTGGGCTGTCAGCAGAGTGGAGACCCGTGGTGGGAGGGACATGGGACTTGCCAGTGACCAGACTAGAGAGGCTCAGGGCGGAAGGAGAATCAGCCTCCTCTGAAGGACACTGTGGTTGGAAGCGGGTGGCCTCTGTCTGGAACGACTAGGTGGAGCCAGAAAAATGGATGGAGAGAGGGACCTTGAGAGTCCGCCCTCCTGGGGACCAGCGGCCCCCAACCCTGAGCGTGGAGACGTGGTTACCACTGGAGAGGTGCCAGAAGCAGGAGACATTGTGGAAGAAAAGTGGGGCCCAGCCTGGTAGGGAGGGGCCATCTGGACCCCCAGGGAGAGCTTGGGGCAGGCGGGCTGGGGAGATGGGCCCTGTGGGTGTGGAATCCAGGGCCTGGCAGGCAAGGGCACCTGTGTTTGAGCAGCAGGACCCGGAACAGATTTTCTCGGTCCTGAGGCTGGATCTGCCCCTCGAAGATAAACCTGTCCAGCAGCTGGCTGGCCACCCCGGCCAGGGATTTCTCTGGCAGGTCCAGGAGGACAGTACCTGCAGGCAGGGGAGGGGTGAACGGGCTGGCTGGCCCTGGCCCTCCTCCTCCCTAGCAGCTTCACATGCAGGGGCCACATGCAGAGGGGCACAGAGGGGCTCACTCACCCTTGGCAAAGGCTTTCTGCAGCTCCAAGAGGCTCCAGAAGGTGAGGTAAGACAGGTGTGGGCGGCCCCAGATCCCGTCCTTCCCCAGGTTCTCCTCTAGCCGCACCCAGCGCGCTGTCTCCATCCATTGTAGCTCCTGGTTCTTTTCATCCATCACCAGTTCCCGCAGCTCCACGACGACCTGCAGTCCCACAGGCCTGAATTAGTCCCTCGGGCCCCAGGCAGGGCTATGGGGAGGCTGGAAGCCCAGGGCACGGTAGGCACTCGGCAGGCTCTGAGAGATGCCCGTCAGGGGCCCAGGGGTCCTGGAGCACTGAGGGCAGAGCCTGAGCTCCGAAGGCACCGTCAGGAGCTACATCCTCAGGGTGTAGAGTGAGGTGTGACATGTGAGGAGATGATTGGGGGTCCCCCATCTCTGGCTCTGTTCCCCAACCTCCTGACCAGCCCCCTCACCCCATTTCAGAGGCATTTGAAGAAACTCTGGGCCAAAAGGGCGGCTAGAGTGGGCAGGACAGGAAAGAAGAGGGAAGCCTTTGGGGTCACTGGGTCAGCCTCCTGCCTCCAAGATGGTCTCATGGGCTCAGCGTGCCCTTGGGGTTCCTTGGGGCCAGATGGCCAGTCCCAGGGGCCTAGCTGAGGGCAGACCCGACTTTCTAACCAGCTAGACCGTCTGGAGTCCAGCAAGGATGTGGGGGGCCTTGGGGGACTGGGCTGAGGAGAGCATGTATTTAATTCTGTGCTTCCCCAGGGAGTAACTGACAGCCCAGCCAGGGCCAGCGGACCTGGTGGCTCAGACCTCCAGCTGTCAATTTATCTCTGTCCAGGGAGCTCCCCCATCAGTGGAAGCGGGACCCGGGTCTCCCCCCGTCACTGGCAGATGTCCTTCACCTATCTCCCAGGATGCCCATTCCTTCTCTCCCTGTTTGTGGGGTCCCCCCCATCCTGAAACTGTAGCTATCCCGCTGCTCCTCCCCTCCCCTGGTAGCATGATGGATCCCAAGGGCAGCATAGGAAAGAGAATCGGGGGAGGCTGGGGTGCTCACCTCGAGGACGTCTGGGGGGCGTTGCGACGCGGTGTGGTAGTCTGTGGCTGTCGGCTCGGTGAGCTGAGCTGAAAATCAAGAAGCCGGTTAGCGCTGGCCGCAGACAATTCCGGCAAGACTTTCCTGCACCACCAGCATGAGCCTCGGACACCACAGGGATGATGCCGCTCTGCCTCCCCTTGCCCCTGGCTGGGACCCTGCCCCTGCTGCTCAGTGGGCTGTGGCCCCCCGCGCGTGTTCTTGGCCGCCCAGCCTGGCACTGTCACTCCCCATCTGAGCGCTGTGGAGGACCCCTGGGGCTCATCCTCAGTGGTGACGAGGAGGGTCATCTCCAAGGGGATTGGGGAGTCCTGAACGGCAATTCTCTTCCCTCTCCTGCTACCTTCTGGGACCGGATTCCCTTATTTCTTCCCACCTGCCTCAACAATCCCACCAGCCAGTAGCTTCTCGCTGCCTCCAAGTGGAGCCTGGGTGCCCCGTGGGGTCTGCCCTTATATTATAGGCCCCTACACCCCCAGCCCTCATTTCCCAGAGGGGCCTCTTATCTCCAATACCAATTGCCAGCACTTAAGTCCTGTTGACAGTAAACAGGTCCCTTCCCAGGGCTCCCCAACCGAGACCTTGGGCAGAGGCCCAGGAAGGTTTCCTGATGTTTCTCCGCCCCGAGGGTCCCTATGCCCCCCCCATTTCTCAGGACTTCTGAACCCCCAAACAGAATGATGTTCCAGAACAGGCCCAGTGCCTGGCCTGGAAGCTGGCATTGGATGGGCACGGGTGGCATGCGGGCTCATGCCCTCGTCCCCGACAGGCCTGGCTGCCCTCTTACAAATCTAAGGGGCACTGTGATGGGTGACTGGTCCTGCCTCCAGCACCCACCCCCAGTCACCTCCTGTGATCATTTCAAACAAAACTCTGTTTATCCTTCAATCAGCCAGGATTGTGGGAGAACTGGCCCTGGGGCTGGGCCGGTGGGGAGCGGGGAGAAGGGGAGGACAAGTTCCCCGCCTGTGTCTGATGGGGCTCAGCAGCTCATCCCAGCAGGAGAGAGGGAGATGGGGCTCACCTTCTGCTTCCTCCACCTGGAGCGTGGGGAAGCCAAGGTCTTCATATGCCTTCTGCTCTAGAAACTCCTCCAGCTTATCTTCATTCTCCTGTGAGAAGTTGCCATCAGGGCTGGGCTGTGGAGGGGGCTCCACAAACCTCCGCGAAGGTAGGAGTCCAGGGTTAGGAGCCCTGCAGATGCCACCCAAGACTCACCTGTGAATCCCCCATGGCGCTGTCCTGATGGTTCAATTGTCTGCAGTGATCTGAGGCCCCAGCATAACCCGCACTGCAGGTCCCTGCAGGGGAAGGGCACAGGCTGAGTGAGGCACAGGGCAGCCTGGGGTCTCCCATTCGTCCCCACAGTATTTGAGTGAAGGGGGATCCCAGGTGTTGGGAGACAATGGGGTCAGAGGAAAGAAGTGTGAGTGAGGGGTTGGATTTGTAGGTCTGAGGGCAGGTGTGCAGGGGTCGGAGAGACAGGGCAGAGCAGGGAAGATGAGACTTAGCTGGCACCAACCTAAGGATGTTTGGGAGGATGGGAGGGGGGGTGTTCTTCCAATCCGACTCCTTCCTCCGTCCACCAGTCCTCACCTGGCTTCCTTTTCTGCCCATCCCCAGGAATCACCAACTCCAGGAACTCCCTCCTTCAGGGAGCTTAGCTGAGAGTCTCCACAGAATACCCTCTTCTCCCAGAAATGGCTGCCTCCTCCTGGGCATGGGGCCGTAGTATCCTTAGGAGTGGCTCACGGGTCCTGGATGATATGGCCTTGCTTCTCTCCCCTACTCCATCTTGAACCCCCTCTCTCTTGCTCTCTCACCACCTATTCCATTGGCCTCCTTACCAAGCCCTTTCCTGCCCCAGGGCCTTTGCACATGTAGTTGGCCACATCCTGGATGCCCCTACTCCCACACTTCAGCCCTTCCCACATCTTAGCTCATATGCTACCTCTTCAGATTCCCTTCTTGACCACCCTAACAGTCACTAACCCAATCTGTCATTTTCTGGTTTCTTAATTCATTTGTGGATATATGGTCTGAGGACGCCTCTAGAAAGGAAGCCACGTGAGTGCTAAGATCCTGCACGTCTCAATCCTCACTGGATCTCCCACTCCTAGCAGAGTGGTTGCCACGTAGTAGGCGCTCAATAAATATGTGTTGAAAGAATGTAAGAATGGCTCCCCCTGGCTTGGGGCTCTGGGGCTGGGGAGCCAGGATGACTAGGACCCAGCCAGGAGGCAGTGGAGCCCTGTGCCTCCGTTTTCTCAGTTGTGTCTCTAGTAGAGGAAGGATGCCCATCGCAGGAATGTGAGGACCAGCCCCAGGAGAGCACAGGGGTGTCCTGGCGCGGCCCCAGGCTGGGTGTGGAGGGACATCCTTCTCTGCCTTACCCACGGCAGCAGAGCGCATTGTAGCAACAGGGATTTGGGTCAGGTTGACAAACGTGCCCACTCTGTGCCTGGCATGGAGCCTGGGAAGCTGAGATGAACAAGACACTGTTCTACTCTCCAGAAGCTCGCAACCCTGACTGGGGAGACAAGCTGGGAACACGTGACAGGCTAAGGCGTTCAGGAGAAAACACGTGCCCCAGACAAACACAAGCAGTGAGCAGACCATGCTGGGTGCTGAGGATGCCTGTGGCAGGGGTAAGTAGGACTCGCGGTGGGGCTGCGGGCGGAGTGTCTCTGGTGGAGGGGACACTGGTGCTGGGTCCAGAAGCACCGGTGGGATGTGAAGGGCTGAGAGGTGGGGAGGGCTAGCCCGGGTGCCGGGAATGGTGGGCAAGATGCAGAGAGAGGACCATGCGAGACAGGTCTGGGCGCTGTGGGAGGGAACAGGGCAGGGAGTATGTACGGAAAGAGCCATTCTGAGGAATGGTTGGCCCTGAAGTCCTTAGAGATAGAGAGAGGGGCGTGAGTGAGCCCCTGACCTACACTGAGAAACGCAGGGGTCCCTGCCTTGGGGGGTTGTAGGGCAAGTGATGGCCTTGGGGGGCGCGGTTTCCAAAGCCTGAGGATGGGGTGTCCCTACTGCAGGGGACTTGCCCTTTGAGGAGTCTGGTCGTGCTCCTCTTTTCTCTCCCTCTTCTGTCCCTCCGTGTCCCCTTCTCCCCAGGTTCCCCTGCCTTCCTCTTCTCCCATTTTTATTCTCTTTCTCCCTTCTCTGGCCTTGTTGCCTGAGGCGCTAGACATACGCTACGCCCCCCACAACGCCCTATGGGCTGGGACTGTGGTCTTAGTTTCCCATTTGGGAGGGGAGAGGGTCAGAGGTTCCCTTCGGAGCCCGAGAGCCCAGACATCCAGGCTGCCTCTCTGCCACTGACTGGCAGCTCCCCGCCTCTCTCTAGGGCTCAGTCACCCTGTCTGTACAATGGGACGCCTTCCTGCTGGGGTTCTGAGACTTCAGTGAGAGAGGAGAGGGGAGAACAGAGGTGTCTCGAGCTCTGCTGGGGCCTCAGAGGGTGCACCCATGACCCAGATTGTAGCCGCCACCAGGCCCAGCCGCCCCCCAGCTGCAGGCCTTGCTCTGCTGGCACTGATAAGAGCCTGGACCCTGATGGCACCAAACACCTGGAAGCGCACCAAACACCTGGCCAGCCCGCCAGCCAGGGCCAGGCAGATAAGGGGGAGCAGGGCATCTGGAGCCCCGGAAGGAGAGCACAGCTGGAAGAGGCTGGTGCGGGGGGCGTGGACCAGAAAACAGGGAGGGCTCCCTGGTGGCATAGTACCAACTTTGTGTAATCGTCCCGACACCATACATGGCTGTGCCGTTTTATCTCTCCCCAAACCACTCTGTGGAGCGAGTAAGGTCATTAGCCTCGCTTTACAGATGAGAAAGCTGAGGTTCAGAGAGGTTTCCTGCTTTGGTGCCCTAGCAGGTAGGTAGCAGAGGCAGGATTAAACCCTGCCCTATCTGACTCCAGCTACACCTCTAACCATTGCCCTGAGTTGTCTCCCGGAAGAGAAAATAGCTATTAGCTGGTTTAGTATCAGTGACTAAGAGCATGGACCCTGCAATCCGGCTGCCTGGCTTCAAATCCCAGCCCTGCCAGTTACTGTGTGACCTTAGGCAAGTGACTCAACCTCTCTGTGCC